ACAGAATGATTTACCTTCTTGCCTTTGAAAGCCACTGCACTGGGTTAAAAAACTAGAAAAATTACACATTTGCTTTTATGTGTTGTTTTCTGATACCTCTACAACCTGTACAGTTTGAACTCTCTTCAAGAAGATTTGATGAAATCTCATGCATTGTAAATAATCCAAAACCCAGTATAATGCATATAAGAAATGGACCTGGAGTCAGATTTCAATTCTGATATTACCTCTGCCACTAGCTGGCTGAAAAGGCCTGGCAGGCAGCTAACACTGGAGTGATTAGGAGTAATCAAAAGACATATTTATTACTATTTGCATCACAGATTTCTTAGATCTGTCTTTTAATATACATACACTCAGTTATAAACAAAACATGTATCTGAAAAGTTATGTGTGAGCTGTGCAGAAAGAAGTGCTTACTTTTTTTTGCATTCTTAACAGCACCCAGGGATTTCCATCTTACCTCTCCCCTTCACCCCTTACCTTGAGGCAAATGAGATATTTTTCTGGCACCTAGGAGTTAGAACTCCTATTCTGCACAGAAACAGCATAATAAATGGTGGCTAGGGTTAGAACCTGTCATGGTAAAGGTGAAACAGGCATCTGTAGGCTGATCTGGGAATCTACTTATTCATAAGGTTCTCACAGGAAAATACTTTTGAGTTCTAAAAAGCCAGCATACACATGCCTTTATAATACAATCCATTTTGCCACAGTGATTGGTGATACCCTTCTCTTTGCACAGCAGTTACAAGATTACCTCCAGGTAAATTTCAGAGTAACATATTCTGGTTTGAAATACATAGGTTATCACAAATCTTATTCAAACTGTACTTAAACTGTAAAAGCTGGAAGAGATCAGAGAAAGAGTCCAATCCTCTAATTTTTCAAAAGAGGAAACAGGATCTAGATCACACAGGTAATGTGGCAGGCCTTGGACTAGAACACAAGTTGAACCCCAAATCCAGGGTTCTCTCTGGTGAGACCAGATAAACAATGCCCCTGTATGTAGGGCCAAGAATTTCTAAAGTGACAGGCTCTCCTTCTAAGTATACCTACAACTATAGTTTTAAGGTTCCTTTTTTTTCTTCTTCTTTTTAAATCTAAGTCCATGGCCCTGTAAATGAAACACCAAACCATGAAAAGCAGTATTTTGGTATCTTGCTGATATGGTCCAACATATCACATTGAAAACACTACTTTGTATCTGGCTGGGCCATCCTTCATCTCCAGGGACCACAAAATCCACCACACCCTTCTCTACTTTTATCTGCCCATCCTGTTTCTCTGTTATTTCCCAAGGCTTCTGCATTCAAATGAGCTCACTTGCTATCTGACCCAGTCTTCAGACTTCTATTCAGTATATGGAATAGAGAGTTCCTACAATGTGCAAGGATTCATACCACCCTCCTGCTCTTTTCCAAAAGGCTCATCTCATGAAGGAAGCCATAATAAATCTGAGACTGTGGCTTTTAAACTTCTATAGTAAGAAATAATTTGTATGCAACCCAGTACATACCCCCATTCACACACACCTTCAAATAAATAACTCAAAAGTTTGACAAAATATTCTTACTATGTATGATATTTGATATTCTTCATTCTATTCCATTTAATTTTTTAAAAAGTCCTGATTGGCAAAGAGGTATTAGCACTCCAGTGTTCATTGCTGCTGTATTCACAAAAGGCAAGATGTGGAAACAATCTAAATGTTCACCAACAGAAGAATGGATAAAGAAAATGTGATACGTACAAACAGTATATTATCATTCAGCCTTAAAAAATAAGGAAATCCTGCAATACGTGACAATTTGGATGAATCTTGAGGACATCAGGCTAAGTAAAATAAACCAGTCACACACGGAAGGACAAATATTGCTTGATTCAACTTACACGAGGTATCTAAAATAGTCAAACTCATAGACTCAGAGAGTAGAACAGGCATTTATTTGCCCGGGGCTGGGGGTAGGGGCAATGAGTTGCTAATCAATGAGCATAAAGTCTCAATTATACAAGATGAACAAGTTCTAGAGATCTGTATGTACAACATTGTCCCTGTAGTTAATAACAAATTTAAGTGTGCACTACAGTGTTAAGGTAGATTTCGTATTAAGTGTTCTTACCACATATACACACAAAGTCCTGCTTGAAATCTTCTAAATTTCTCGACCCACTAATGGATCATGACCTGTGATTTCGAGAAAATGCTCTACCTCCTAAAAGGGTGATTATTTTGACATGATGCTGAAGGGATAGTTAGACACATCAGCAAATACTTAGGCACGAGACACTGCCCCCCTCCCCGCCAACCAAGAATTAGTATCTGCATCCCATGAGCCAAGGGTAGAAGAGAGACCAACTGGTAGGAGACCAGGGCTACACTGAAGTATCATTTCAGGAATAAGAAGTAGGGTGGGGCTTCTTTTTTCCCCAACGACTTAGGCAGTCTTCACATCTTAATTCTTCCCCGTGTCAGCCTGCTTATTTCCAACTGGGCTGTCAACACTTGAAGGCAGGAATGGTATTCTTCCCGAAAATTCTACACTCTACCCAGAGACATAATTGAAGCAGAATATAAAATAATAAATGAGCAACGAGTGTTTTTTTTTCCCCCCCAAAGATAACTTTTCTAATTCATGGCTTCTGTTAAACAGTAAGTTCCCCACTCCAAAAGACAATGATTTGTTAGTGGGGTAAAAAAGCAAAGGAAGATGTGGAAAAGAAAAAAATCTAGGGAGACAGAGGATAAATCATAAAATAAACATTAAAATACTGGTAAGGAGAAGCATTTCAAGTCAAGTTTTTTAAAAAAATCAACTTATAGCTTCGTATTTCATTTTGACATAGAATATTTGGAACAAGAAACTTGAAGATGCAGTCTCAACAGCCACGAATGAAAGCTTCCATAGAACATCTTTAACACATTTAATGTAACAGCTGTGCTATCCAGTCAACTTACAGATCTTTCCAAGAAGTGTTATTACCTGGCTGAAATGCTGGACTCAATTTTCTCCTCTTATAGAGGTACAAGTTTGCTTTACTGCCACTCTTTTCCACTGCCCTTGATTTTTGGGGATGGGGAGGAGAGGCAAACCTATTATTAACCCTCTCTTCAAGAAAGCCTGTCAAAGTGGAGACACACTACTGCAAGGCCCTACTCTTCAGTTCTCACTTCAGTTCATTCAACAACTACAAAAGCCACTTAAAACAGGTAGTTTAAAGAGCACTTAAAATGCTCTTCCTGCCAACAGGAGAAAAATCTTTAAAAGGGTAAGGAAAAGGATTCCTGGAGGGTCCCACCTGATTACAGCAGATGGGCCAAAGATGAATGGGATGGAGGAAGGGGTGGGGCAGTAAGGAGGAGAGGTCTCTAGATTGAGTTATTGAGCTCCAAGTGTGCTGCAAGTCTCCTGTCCCTGTAGTTCTATCTGGGACAATGACTACCAAAGACATTAACTGCTTTTCTTTTCTTTCTTTCTTTTTTTTTTTTTTTAAGGTAGACCTAGTTAATGTCAAAACAGGCCCAAACAAAATTTTAACTTTCAATTGCACAAGAATGGCTACTTAAGATGGGAACCTTAAATGTCAGTTCACTTATCATGCCACAAGCATCTCATGCCTACTGTACCAGGCACAAGGCTAAGTGCTAGGGAAACAGAGGTGAAGAAGCAGCACGATGTCCCTGCCCTTCCTGGGCTTGCATTTTCCTGTGAGTGACACACAATACACAAACGAATATATAAAATGTCACATGTTGTAAAGAAACACTGAACTTGAGACTAAAAGAATTATCACCAAATACATGCTGTGCCCCTTTTCTGTCCAAAGAAGTTTTGACAAACCACTTTTGTAGAAACATGAATTACTAGTTGTCACACTTTTCTAATTTAAAACAGCACAATTCCTTCAGCAGTAGGAAGCGGAATTATCTTTCAATTTTAGAAATAAAAAAACTAACCTTTTGCAAGGAGATATTCTGCACTGATGCAGCAGCACCTGGACACTTAGGCCAAGAATGATAACACTGGCCAGAAGATGAACTATTTACACAGGTGGCAAGCCATTTAAGGCAAAAGCTGAAAATGCAAAAAACAGATGGACTTCTCAGGAAGTCATTTAACTATCTGTACTGCATATACATATGATTTTTAAAAACGGAAAGGGAGGGTATAAAAAGTTTTGGCAGAAAAGACTAAATCTAACAGTTTTAACATTGCTGCTTTCCAGAGCATTCTAATAAACAATGGTTCAACACTGAGAATCCACTTCATCTTTAGGCAGAACACATGAAGTACTCATTTGTAAAGTTTAGATGCTAGATGTAGACCCTAGAAAGGTGCTAACAAATCCTTTTTTTGAAGCTCTATGCATTCCCATTTAAAATCAAACAGGATCAGAAAGGTCCTCCCATTAAAGAAAAACTAAGCCGTAACTTATTTGTTTAAATTTATAGCTATACAGGCGGGGGGAGGGACGTTGGCGGGGGGAGCGGGGGGCGGTGAGAAGGAGAAGTTGAAGAGGTTTACGAAAAGACACCTAGATGAGATAGGAAGAAGTGAACATCCTGAAGACCTGACTTCTACTAGCTACGAACAACTTAGTCCCTTGCATATCAATCACAAAAGTGAATTCTGAGACCGGACGGTGGATCGCGGTACTCGCCGTACTGAAAGTCACACTTTTTTCGTGCTCACGCCCTGCAGGGCCCAATCCGCGTTTGCTGAATGAAGGGGAAAACCCAAATGAATGAATGAACGAGTAGTATGGCCAGGAGGCTCGGAGCAGGGCCCCCACGGTCGGATGGCCCTAGCTGCCGGCTGGGCGAGGGCGGGGACAGCGCGCCGGGGCGGGGGACGCCGGGTACCCCCGGGGTGCAGTGCAGGACTCAAGAGTGCGATGGGGCTCCGGGGCCCGGGCGCCGGGCGTGCCCGGCCGAACAAAGGCGGCGCGGGGTGGTCTGACAGGGGCGCTCAGCGGGGTCGGGGGCCGCGGACACTCACCTCGTCTCCCCACTTGAGCACGTCCTTGTGCCGGTCCTTGACGGCGTGGTATATATGCAGGAACTGGAGGATCCCGTGCCGCCGCACGTGGTCTGCGTGGCGCTGGGTCTCCTCCCAACTCAGCGGCGAACCCTGGGACAGCAACCCCATGGCCGCCCCCTTCTGCTCCTCCTCGGGGCTGACCGCGGCCGCTCGCTCCGGGCGCGAGCCGGACACTCAGCTGCCCGCAGAAGGCGGTAGCGGAGACTGCTCCACCCCGGGGAGGCGCCCTCGGGACGCAGTCGGCGGAGGGAGGGTCCGGTTCGCTTCTGCTCCCGGGCGCAGGGGTCCCTGCAGCCCAGGTGACAGACCGGGGGTCCGACGCACAGCGCGGACACAGAGGCAGCAGACGGAAGGGCAAGCTGGGCGGCTCTCGGCCCGGAGGCCTTGCCCCTCGCCCACTCCGGCTCTCGCCCTACTCCTGCTCGGAGGCAGGACGCCACGGCCGCGGTGCGGCAGCGGCTCCCACCTCTCCTTGCCGGTGTCGTGCACTGGCTTCTTCCTACTTGTGACCAAAATCTGCGCCTCAGCTGAGCATGCCCAGTCCCCGCGTCCGCTCGCTCGCCGCTCCCGGGCGCGATCCTTCGCTCCGGATTTTATAGACTACGGGCGGGGGCGGGGAAAGGGGGCGGTGCAGGACGGGAAGCGTGGCTGAGAGTCCGAAGGGATTCTAAGGGGGCCGCTGAGGAGGCGTGCGCAGGCGTGGTTAGGGCGGAGTCAAAGGGGTAAAAGCTCCTGGGAAGTGGGGTGAGGTCGGTCTCGCTTTAAGCAAATGCAATGTGGAAAAGTCCGTTTTTCCTTATCCGAAGAAATAAACTCCGGGTTGAGGAACAGAATTGATTATTTGAGTTAATGAGGAACCCACCAGGTAACTTTTTAGTTGGAAAAGGCCTCACACTTATAAAAACATGGTGAGAGCGGCAAAAGTTTTTGAGAAGAATAGTGGCTTGGGAGTCTGATGAAACACATGTCACCTGTAGACTCCATTACTTACTGATTGTGAAACTTTGGGAAAGTTATTTCCGTACTCACATAAAATTAGATTAATCCTATTTTTCATGGATGTTCTAAGGATTGCACAGTGTAGACGTGCATGGAGTTGATGATCAATAAATTGACCAGGCTGTTAAAAGGAACGAATTTGTCTACAAGTTGTTACATATGTGTATATGTTACCATTATTTGAGTATTCTCGGAATTAAGTATGACATGTTCTCTGGATGGCACAGACAACATTCATTGCAACAAAAGGGGGTTTGTCAACATCTCCAGATGAGCTATACGAATGAACCATCTCCAAAAGATTATCTTCCATCTAAACCTAAGATTCATCCATTAAGTGATCAAAACGATTTTCATGTGAACTTACCATGGGGAACAGCTGGAGTTGGCCCTAACTTGGTAGGATAGGGAAGAAAAGAGGTACCTTGCCTTGTAGTAATTGTTCAATAAATATGTGTTGACAGAGTAATGACATGACAGGTCAGGGGGGAAGTGACAGCAACTAGATCATACATTTACTGAGGCCAGAAAGCATGTACTTATTATGCGTTTTCTCGAAGTACATAGTTAACATTTAGTAAGCGCCTATCATTGCTAAATGAGTTAATGATAGTAGGAGTCTCTTCTCCCACAGCCTTAATTGTGGATGTGCCCACCATAGGGCTTAGGGACAGGGATAACCAGATCACAGTAGTGTGTGTGTGTGTGTGTGTGTGTGTGTGTGTGTGTGGTGTGTGTGTGGTGTGTGTGTGCGCGCACGCGCGCGCTGACAGCGTGGGGGTGTTTAAAGCTCAGGGGATAATATTTCACTCTCTAGCACATAGCTGGGATAAAAACCAGGCCTCATTCTAGTTTTTCCATAGCCTACTCAATAACCTCAGCTACTGCCCCTGCCCTCCGTGTGCCCTCCTCACCAACCTCACCAGATATGTATATTTTTTCTAGCTCTCCGCTGTTTTTTCTGCTTAGAATTCTCCACTTGACACAGTCCTGTTCATCCTTTGAGTGCCAGTTACTCCACTCTGTATTTTGGTTGCATTTGTACATGCTTCTATTTGTACATTATGATAGAATCATTTTAAAAATATCTCTACACTAGTGACTTTCTCTGGGACAGATAGGACTTATGCCTTTCGTACCTTTAATTCCAGAAAAGTGTTGGTATAGAGTAGATGCTTAATAAATATTAGTTTCTCTGTGGAAAGCAGGTAGTAAAGGAGGGGGAGAAACAGTGTTTCACATACAGGTAGGGCATCCAAAGGATCATTTGGTTATTCTCATAATCTCATTTCACAGTTTCATAGACTTGCATTGTTCAACATGATAGCCATCAGCCACATGTGGCTATTGAGTGTTTGAAACGTAGCTAACATGACTCAGAAACTGAATTTATAGTTTTACTTAATCGATTTAAATATGAATTTTTAAATTGATGTTCCATTCAGTTACTGGAAAACATAAGTAAATTTGGAACAAGTTCGAACTGTGAATTCACTTTTTCAACTGTAAATTTTAGGAAATCTAAATACAGATCAAGCATTTTCAGTGGAAATTGAGTGGCCCAAGAGATAGATATTTTATGAGTGTAAAACACCAGATTTGAAGGCTTAGTACAAAAAAGAATGTAAATATCTCATTAAAAATTTTATGTTAATATAGTATTTTGAACATGCTGAGTTAAATAAGATATAGTATATTATTTAAATTAATCCACCTGTTTCTTTTCAGTTTTTAAAGGTAGCTAGTGGAAATTTTAAGATTACGTATGTGGCTCACATTCTACCTTATTGAAACAGCGCTGATGCAGACCTTTATTTACACTTTGCAGAGCACACTTTCCCCCATACACCTGCTGCATTTCCTCACAGCGATTTCCTGAAGCTGGTCTCTTGGGAAAATGTCAGTTTCATTTTAATGAGGAAACAGGAACATGGGCGGTTCAGTAAGAGACTAAGTTCTATCCTAGCCACAGCTCTAAGCAATACTGAACATTAACGTGATACTGAGTTAACACTGCAATTTGAGTTACTCTGCCCAGACTCTGGTTCACATTCACATAAGCGGGCCTCTCCTACTCTACCCCGAATTCCTAACCAGCACTCCAAGAGACGGTCCCAGGGCTCTGGACAATCCCAGATCCGGTGCATTGTGGCAACCACCACCCGGCATTTATGCCAAATTTAAGCCATGATCTCCGCAAAGCCTTTAGCAATTTCTGTTACACGAACAAAAACTCCGCTATGGATCAACGGAAGTCATTCATATTCAACGTTATTCCCCTCTATGTGACAGAGGTTTGCATTTGCAGGTCCATTTCTCGATTTCATTCTGTAGACTTCACCCAGGGCTGGGTTTCGACATCTGGGAGTGGGTTTTCAGCGGACAGCCCCATCAGGGCTTTAACGATTGCTAAAAGGAAAAGAAGGAGCTCATATCTTGCTCAATCAACTCTTCCCTGAGCCATGACCAAAGACAGACTCCGGGTCATTTCTTCCGCAGAAAACGCAACACTGGCTCGACCGGAACCCACCCCTGCCCAGCGGCGGTCAGAGCATCGCACCCTCGCCTGCTAACGCCGCGGCCGAACGCAAGCCCCGCCCCCAGGGCCGCCCGGAAAACCCGGACCGTGGAGCCGGGCGGCAGGGGACGCCGTGCGGTCCCGCGGCCGAGCTGAGCATGCTCGGAGAGCGGATCGGTCGCGGGAGGAAGCGGCGCGGGCCGAGGGCGCTGCACGCCGCGCCGTTGTTGTGATACAGCCCCCGCCACGTGACTGCGCCGGCCCGCCTCCCGGCGCGCGGTGCCGCCTCCCGGTGACTCAGCACTTTGTGCGGGCTCTGCGCCGGAGGTCAATCCGGGGAGGTTGCTCCGGGGCAAAGTCTCTGTCACTCTGACCACCGGGTTGCTGCTCTCGGTATCGCAGCAGCCATTTGACTTGCAGTGTTCGGGCCTCCACACAAGGAGGAAAAAATATATCATTTTCCTGGGTTCACGCCATTCACTGTTTCCCCTGAGTCAGCGGCTTCGCAGAGATCAAGTGAGGAAAGCAGAGGGACAGTGCTTTGGGGTCTCTGAGGAAGGCACTTATAGGTTCACGCTACTTGCTGTCATCCACCCCACCCTTTATTGCACTCTTTGACCTGAGTATCCTTTTGTTTTTGATGGTCTCTCGGGTGGTTCTCAACTGTTGCTCTTTATGGCACACTTGCTTTATGCCAAGCGCTCTGTTTGATCTGGAATCCATAAAACAGCCCTGGTTGCTGCCACGTTTTATAGATGAGGCAACTGAGATCCAGTAACGTTCGGTAGCAAGTAGTGGCTACGCTGGGATTTGAACATCAGTGTGGTTGCAAAGCCTGTACGCGTTCTACCAGTCCACACAGCCTGGGCAAAGGTGCTGGTGGTCTTCAGAGGGACTTTTCCTGGCACGTGATACCACCTCCATTACACGGGACACGCCTGTGACACACCCTTTCCCCCAAACCCTTGGGTCTGTGAAGTAATGAAGAATTTTTCTTTTTAATTTTTTGAGTAGTAGGGGGAAAAAAAAGGTATTTCTTAACTTCAGTCTACGTGGTAGTAAAATACAAAAGATATAGAAGGGATTTTCTCCCTACAGGTGTATTATACGTAGAACTTGATGTGATTATACTTTACAAGGTCCCTAGGGCCTTATGATAGAAGAGCAGTAGCCAAAAGACTAGGGTTTTCATCTCAGCTCAGAGGTTAACCTGTTGGGTCAATCTAAGTAAGATTGTGTTTATCATCATATTTATCATTGGGAGATGCGTCCCCAACTCTTCACCTGTTCAAAGGAGAAGCTGGAGATTAGGTTCCTTTCCAGCCTAAACATTCTCTGATGTCACTACTACTAAATTAGTAGAAAAAGTGCAAATATTTTTGCATTGTGTAGTATTTCCTAACACATGCTGCTAGGATGTGTTAATTGTCATTTTAAGTCAAAAAAGTAAAGAACCTCTTTTAACTTGTTTTTCAAGACGATTTTTAGTTCATATGGATTTTTGAAAAATATAAACGTGTTTATTTTCATGTAGTGTTACAAAAACGTTCATATAGAGTTACAAAAGTTCTGCACAAGTGAAGACCTTTTTTAAGAGGAAGAAGCTTGAGTGTGCTAAAGAAGAAGAGTAGGAGACAACAGGGGGCAAGGTTAAGGATATGGTAGGGAGAAAGGATGCCTTTAAGATCTCTGAGGAGACATGACTTGGGATCCAGAACACATGGGAAGTGGTGGGCTTATTATTCCCCAAACCCCCCAGAACAGTATCATTGTCTTCCTATGAGATGCTGAGGATGATGTGCGAGGATGGCAAGGGTCATAGCTAAATACCTTTCTCACTGGAGTATGGTTAAAGAAAACACATCTATTTATTGTGGACCTTGGCAATCAAACACAAAAGTAGACAACATAGTGTAATGACACTTCATGTACCTACTACCCACCTTCAGTACCACCACATGGCTAATCTTATTTCAGTTATTTACCTCCT